TGCCCCTCCTTTTTTTTTTTTTTTTCAAGATTTATTTATTTATTTTAGGGGAGAGAGAGTGCGTAGGCACAAGGGGAGGGGGGGGCAGAGGGAGAGAGAGAGAGAAGCAGACTCCCCACTGAGCACAGAGCCTAATGGGAGGCTCAATCTCAGGACCCTGAGAAAATGATCTGAGCCAAAATTAAGAGTCAGGCGCTCAACCGACTGGCTACCCGGGCACCCTGACTATTGAATTTCTTAATGAAAACAATCATACTGAAACTTTACAGCCAAGTTTGAATAGCACTAATAATCAATCTTTATGTTAAGGGATTTATAAAGCCTTCAGCTTTTTGGATAATGAGAGATGCCCTGTCTGGTTTCTTTACCGATGATAAATATGTGGTACCACCTATACCTTATATATCACCAAAATGCCAGCCTATATTTTGCAGTCAGTCATTTGTATGCACTGCAGGGAATACTGTAAGTTCTTTGGGTTCTCTTGAGCTAACCCTCTGAACTTTATAGTTTCTGAGATCCACATGACCTGTGAATAATCAGTATCACCTAAGTAATATTACTTGCCTTTAGGATTCTTAGACTTTACTGAAGCAGTTCTTAACTTTTCTGAGTTAGAAGCTGAGATAAGGAAGCTATGAGCTCTCTCCCTAATAAAAGGTACTTAGACATACTTGAAATATTTGCTCACAATTTCAGGAAGTTTATGAACTTTGTGAAGCTAATACATGCCCCGCCAGGTTAAAAAAATCCTCTTATAAAGCAATTTGAGCATCATTTTCTCCAAAGATAGCCCTTATTTGGACAAAATTTCTACTCCATATTCCTAAATCTGTTAGCACATTAATATGTAATAATTTGGAACCTAAACAGATTTTTTTTTTGCCCATTCTCCTTTATTTTCCAAGTACTTAAAACAATTTTTTAATAATATCCCCTAGAATTTTGTCTTGGATCTCTACTAAATGCATAGATTGATAATTCACAGAATACACTCTTTATGTATATGAAGATCATATTTTTTCCCTTCTCTAATCTTTTGGCATATCTTTCATTCTCCAAGATTCCTTAAGGACAATTGACACTTAACAAATTCATCTGCTGGTTCCCTCTGTTTTCTCTAATAAAAATTTGTCAAGTTGGGAGACCTAAATTCATTTAGAGCAGAATTTATTTATTATTATTTAGAATTTATATAAATTCTTCTCATTTGTGCCTAAACCTGTAAGTTTACAGATCATCAGGAGGAAATTTTCCCTAAACAGAGGTTTTTAATGTCTAAAAAAATATATCTGCATTTCTTTTGCAGGCTAACTTTTTTTTATTAAGCTGACTGCATTGAAAAATTATTTTGCTAATGTTTGAAAAATTGTATTATAAACAGATCCCTTAATGTCTGTGGCATGTCATTACAAAGGGTCGCTGGCTAGAGAGTTTCTCATTGTTTTGAATTTTTGTTTTGTGTTTGCTTTTCAGTGAGATTTAAAGTCAGGCTTTTCATGGGACCCAGTGAGTTAAGACACAGCTCTGTTGAAATTCTTTCTATGAGTGTAGTAGTATTAGAACAAAGAGTTTTAAAGAGTTTCACAAATATTCCTCCAAAGATTTCAATTAAATAATTCATTTATTCAACATATTTTCAATTCCAAGTATGTTCCAAGCACTCTGCTAGATTTTGGTTCTGCAGTAGGACAGAACCATACTCTGATGATATTTGCATACTATCAAGTGTGGTGGTGAATGGTGCTTATATGCAGACCGGTAACTCAAGTGTGATGAATGGGAAGGAATCTGGGATAATTTAGAATCACATGGCAGGTTAGGGAAGGATTCACTGATCATGCGGTGTTTAACCTGAGATGAAGATGAACATACTGGTTTAAACAAGACGAAACAATAAATGATTTAAGGCAACTCTTATGTCAAGAAAAACATTCCTTAAAAAGTGCTCTATTGAGCTCAGGATCAAGTTTAGCAGTACAAACACCTACTAATTATATTTATAATCTCTAGACAGGGAAGACTGGTGATACTAGTTAGAAGGTGTTCCTTTAATATGTTTGTAAGTTCAGTAAATTGTGATTATCTTAAGAGGAGTAGGGTCTGTTTGAAAACAAGTCTGGGGTATAATGGACCCCAAGGAAAATCTGAAAAGTGGTTCTTCCCTTTAGAAACCTTTACTTTGCCCAGATAAATGCAAGCCTTGGAGAACATGTATCCTGGAAAATAGTCCAAGTGGTTCTAAATCCTTAACTGCGCTCCAAAGAATCTTTCAGAAGGTTCTACTCTAGTTTCAGAAGTTGGCCAAATTCAGTATTATTTGAAAGAAGACAGGCTGTCTTCTGATGACACAGGTGTTTGTAAACAGGATCCTATCTTTGTCATCAGAGTATCTGTTTGCAACTAGATAGCCCAAAAAGGACTCATCTTAACTTGTGAAATTTATACCAGAAAAATCTTCCTCAATATTCTGCTTTAAAAAAGCTATAGGAACTCCAAAAGGACAATGGTAACATCACTGCATACTAACATAACACAAATAATTATTTCTAGAAAAAAATGTCAAAGAGTCCAAAAATGTTTATCTGGGACCATTGAAGTAGCAGTAGCAGGATTCTGTTAAAATTAGGAGAGACTTCATCTTAGATGTTAAAGAGAGTGGGCTACAAACACAAAGGGAGGTGCTCACTTTTAGATATGTTTAGGGCATGAACAAAGTTTAAATCCTGGAGTCGAATTTTCACAAATTAAGCATTTCCTGGATCCAAGACAGTGTTTCTCAAGTATTATGCATATGGAGCATGTAAGCTAGATGCATCTTACTGCTTAGATGGAAAAATGATGCCTTTTCAGAAAAAAATTATTAAATATTTTAAGTTTACAGAAAGTTCTTTTTTTTCATTTTCTCTGAATTTTTCTTTTTTTTTGCAATTAAATATTTATTGAACAAATGCAGAATAAATGAAGCAGGGGGGCTTTTAACCTGAAGATACAATAAACACCTCCAAATATTTACAGGGCATCACACAAAAACTGAAAGACTTGTTCAATATTTCTCCAAAAGGCAGACCTTGAACCAAAGGATAAATATAAGCAACCAGTAGGTTGCAGGATAATTGTACAAAGTAGAACACTTATCTTAATAGCTTCTTTGCCGATAGAATGCATTCCACCCTAAGTTTCCCTTCTTCTGAAAGGAACATTACATCTAATACTTCTCCTGAAGGTTCTTAAATAGTTGCATTTTCATGGCAAGCCCTCCACTGCCAGCAATGGATGTACTCACGCTATCAGGAAAAAATCTGAAGTTCACAAATTGGTTTACTGAGGAAATGGTCTTCGGTTCTTCAGCTACATTTCAGCATTCTGTAGAAGTGATGTTCAGGAGGTGAGGAGAAAGAGCATATTATCTGAAGGGGGTGCATCAGAAGCCCCAGCAGCTCAGATACTGCCTATGGGGATGGTCCTCTTCAAACCCCAAATGAATTGCTGTAGGTAGCAACAATCAGTGCAGATGGGAGTGTGCTGCGCGCTGGGGCAGGGAAAAACAGCTGACAACCACTGACCTACACAAAGCAGGAGAGCTGTACTTCATAAGTCAGTAGGAAATATAAACTGCATAATACTGACGGGCTCCATCCAAATTGTCAAATATTACAAAATGAGAATTGTTTCAACAACTATTCAGCATAATGTTTAAGGACAAAATACATATAATACACTTTTATATATGGATTTTATCACATCCTCAGTAAGGAATGCTGAGGTGCTTCATCCATCCAATAAATTGAAAATAAAAATTTTACATTTCTCTGTCAGTATACAGGATTCTGAACGTGGATCTTGAATTCAGAACACTACATCAGTTTTCGAGGAAAGCCACATAATCCGTCAGTCTGGCTAATGGCTGTTCATTGGGGATCGGGGACACTGGGGTAGGCTCTGATAAAGGAATAAACCAGTTAAAGTACACATCCAGGGCCCCTGCAACTGGCTTTTTGGGCATAACCATTCTTGTGGTGGAGTCCGCTTGCCATCCTTGTTCTTTTTTTTTTTTTTAAGATTTTATTTATTTATTTGACAGAGAGAGAGACAGCGAGAGAGGGAACACAAGCAGGGGGAGTGGGAG